TATACAGGGCAGTACCTTTACAGTATTGGGAAAGACATTAGTGCGAGTCTGGATTGGCGCTAAAGTCCTAGTAGGATGAGCCATTTTATGCGAAATGCATCGAGGACTAGCTGATCGAAAGATAGTCCTATACATCAGAATGAAAGCAGTTTACATTTCACCTCGTTGTGCGCACCGCGGCAGACCCACGGCATTGGCGAACAAACGAGGACGCTCCGTGTATCCAAGGCAGACCCTGGGGATACAACAATGTCTGTGACGCCTCGGACCGTCGTTACAGCCGCGATCCCAGCATCTCCATCGCCGGTAGCACCCCTGGCTCAACCCCAGTCGCAGTCCGTAGCCCCAAATCATACACCGCAGCGTGAAACCGCCGAAGTCCACACTTATCTCCCAGTGGCTCGCCCCCCCGCTCCGTGAGCAAGCCATGGTCGACCCTCCGGCAAAGTCTCGACGCACCCAACTCGGTGAACGTGGCACTGTGACATCTGAATACATCACCAGTACGGCTACTGTGGCTCCTACACTCGCTCCTGTCAACGATCACCACCGCCACGAAGAACTCGACTACAATCCACGCGACCTCCCGGCCCTTGTAGACCAAGAAGCTCTTGCCGCGTTCGAGTTTTGCGGCGCTGTGCACTATATCGACGACCCGGCCTCTTCCAGCTTCCGGTAGGCGATGCAATGCCCCGACGCGGAGCAATCGTTTGAAGCTTACAAGGCCGAGTGGAAGAACCTTAACGACATGCAGTGCTTCCAAGTCGTCCAAGAGCCACCTGGACGTGATGGTTTGTCCAGCCGTTGGATTTTCAAGCGCAAGATACACCCCGACGGCACCACGACCCACAAAGCTCGGCTCGTGATCCGGGGCTGCCACCAAAAGTACGGCATCGACTACCTCGAGACGTACTCACCGACGGTCAAGGCTGAATCGACTCGCATGACTCTCGCCTGGGCGAAAGCCAACGATATGGTGGTTCACCACGCCGATGCAACAATGCCTATATCCACGCCGATCTGGACATCCCCCAGCGCATGCAGCCTCCGGACGGCATTGAAGACGATGGCTCCTACCATCTCCTCGCGGTCAAGGGGATCTATGGCACCCATCAGGGCGGTCTTATGTGGTATCTCTACTGCAAGGACGCCCTGCACGACATGGGCTTCGAAGAGACCAACACCGATCCATGCATATTCCTCCGCAGCATCGACAACGAAGTTCATCACGGCGTACTTCGACGATTTTCTTGTATGTGCTTCCACCAAGGCCGCGGTCGAATAAATCATCGGCGAGATGCAGCGCAGCATGCGCCTCAATGATCTCGGCCCCGTTCGGCGCATCCTCGGCATGGAAGTCGAGCGCGATCACACCACCAATACTCTCTCAATCTCGCAGTCGGCCTACATCGCCGAAATCGCCCAGCGGTTTGGCCTCGAAGATGCGTTCCCCGCCGACACGCCAATTCCGATCAGCACGAAACTTGCCTCGAAGGACTCACCGCTCTTGTCGCCGGACAACGAGTACCAATCCATCGACGGCTTGATTCTGTACTGCTCTATCATAACTCACCCCGATATCACGCACGCTGTGTCCCAACACTCGCGGTACCTCTCGGAGCCGCGCCAAGTGCAGTTGTCGATGGCCAAGTGGGTCATCCGTTACCTCAAGGGAACCACAACGCTCGGCCTCATGTACCAAGGACACGATGACACCGCACTGAGCCTCATCGACTACTCGGACGCAAGCTGGGGTGACGACCGCGGCACGGGCCGCTCCACTTCCGGTTTTTTCTGGATGCTCGGTGGTGGTCCCATTGCATGGAAATCGAAGCTCCAAGGCCTTGCTACGCTCTCGACCGCCGAAGCAGAATACGTCGGTGCCTGCGTTTCTGCCCAACACGGTGCATTCCTCCAAAACCTGCTCCACGAGATCTAAGGTCGACTCCCCAAGGCTCCAATGCTCTACCTCGACAACCAAAGCGCGATCCATATCGCCTCCAACACAGGCAGCATGCAACGGACCAAGCATCTTGCCATGCTCTTCTACTACCTGCGCGATCTCGTTGAATCGGGCAACATGGTCTTGCACTACTGCCCCACGAACGTCATGGCCGCCGACATGATGACCAAACATGTGCCCATGTCCATCCTACAAGTCGCGATCGGCATAATGGGTATGGGAGTCTGTTGTGTGGCCTACCCATAAGCCGCTCATCCTGAGACAAGCATGTCACATCTTTCTAGAAACTGCATATCTATGTGCTCAGACTACCTTCTGTTAAAACTCGAACAATCTACTCACTTTGCTATTCCCCGTTCTCCTGCTCAGTCGCCTCTTCTCCTTGGCCACCTCTGTGCCCTGCATCGCTTCATACATAGTAGATTGTGTCATTCCAGCCATCAAGACGAAGTAGATTTGGCCGCACGTTGTGGAACAGGGTGATATGGTCATCCAGCAAGACAACGCACGGGTATACGTGGTCGAGTGATCAAGACGTCATGATGCTGGCCGACGCGGTGGTCGGACGATTTGTATGTGCAACTAGCCTCTAAAGAGTCCAGATCTCACGTCCTAGATCTGGGCATTTTCATTTCAATCCACGCAATGCAGCAACAAATGGTGTGTTCAAGCATCGAGACTCTAATTGATTCCGTGAAGACCGCCTTTGCAGACTTTCCTGGATCCACTCTGTAAGGTTCATTTGGAACGCTGATGCGTGTCGTTGTCGCGATTATTGATGCAGAGACAACCGTTACAAAGTCCTTCGCAGTTTGAATTATCAAGCTGATCTCTTGGCGCTCGACATGAT